TGCTATGCCTGATGACATTGCTGTTGCCACTGTGCCAATCCATCTCATTAGGAGTCTTGCTCTTTTTCTCTAACCTTCCACTTTACCAAACATAATGTCCTTCCCCAGTGACTGGTCCCTCTTGAGAATACATTTGAAGTATTAGAGATGAAGTTTGGCCATTGTGGCTTCCAAGGAACACTCTAGTTGTACTTCGTCTGACACAGATCTGTTTGTTCTTTTGGCAGCCTATCATACTTTCAATATTGTCCTCCAACACTATTAATTATTAATACATCTTGAGTGAATGTTTAATCAGTTTCGGTCTGAAGTTGGTAGAGTTCTTCAATTTGATCATCACTAGATGTAGTGGTTTGTATATCAACTTGAATAATAGTTGTTATTACCAGTCTTCCTTGTAGGTATATGGATATTATCCTATCACAGAGAGCGTTGTACTCCAGGATAGAACTTGCATTTTTTTTTTCTTGACAGTGAGTACAATGTCATTCCTCTTCAATTTGTTGTTCATAACATAGTGGAATATATGATTGTCAGATTCAAAATTGCCAATACCAGTTCAGCTCACTAATAACTAAGATATTGATCTTCAAGTGTTTTATTGCATTTAGACAACTTCCAGTTGTCCTAGATTCATACTGTGTACATTACATGTTTCAATTATTAATAGATGTTTGCAGCTCTTTCACTTATTTTGAATTGTGCCCATTAGCAAATGGAGGTCTCAAAACCTATACTCCATTCACATCATCATCTACTCTACTTTGAGGAGGTAACTCTTCCCCAGTTATATTCTGAGTGCCTTCCTACCTGAGGGGCTTATCTTCTGGCCCTGTATCTGATAATGCTCTGTTGCTATTCATAAGATTTTCAATGGCTAAATATTCAGAAGTAGTCTGTCTCTCATTCTTCCTTAGTCTGTCTTAGTCTGGTAGTGCCACTGAAACCTGTCTACCATGACTTACTGTGCTTTGATTTAAAATGTGAGTGGCATGGTTTCTAGCCTCACATCAACACCACAATAGCCACCACAGTACGACAAACTGTTGCACGATTAATGCTGTTTAACTTTTCTGTAAATGGATATATGGTTTTGCCAGTACCGTTGTTAAACAAATTGACTTTGGCTCATGTGATATGTTTTGGCCCTGTTGACATCTGTTGTTGTTAAGTGTCATCAAGTTGGTTCTGACCCATAGCAACCCTGGTGTGGTGCTGTGGGTTAATACGCCAGATTGCAAAGCCATTTGAACTGCAAGGTTGGCGGTTCAACCTCACCAGCTGCTCCTCGGAAACCCAGTACAGGGTCGCTATGAATCGGAACTGACTCCACGGCATATAATAACAACAACAAATGTCCTTCTGTACATTCTTCTGTTGTGGCACTGTTGGATCAGCACTGGACTTCAAACAAATGGTTGGCTGTTCAAACCCACCAGCTGCTCCTTGGAAACCCTACACATGGTCACTATGAGTCAGAACTGACTGCTTGATGCTTAACTACAATAACATACATCCTTAGGACTTCTGGTGTGGAGCTGTAATCAGCACTGGATTGTGAACTAAAAGTCAACAGTTCAAATCCACCAACAGCTCCTCAGAAACCCTCTACAGGGTTGTTATGTGTCAGAACTGACTCTAGGGCACTTAACAACAGCAATACATTCTTAAGCTGACTACTCTTATATCTCTTCCCAACCTTCAAATATTGGAGTGTCCCAGTGTTCCATCTTTATTTTTGTCTCACTGCATTTTTCTTCATAGCACTTCTCTTCATCTAAAATTAAATTATATATTTATCCCTTTGCTTGTTTACTGTCTATATCCCATTGGAATACAAGCTCTGACTTTGTCTTTTTCCTCACTATATCCTAGGCTTCTAGAATTGCACCTGGCAAAAAGTATATGTTGAAATGGATGAATATATGTATGAGAAGAATGTAAATAAATGTTATATGGATGAAAGACTGGTAGCTCCATAATCAAATAAGTTTCTGCAGTGTTGGACTAAACAGATGTAAACACTTGTATTTCATGTGGGACCTCTCAGTTACTTTAATATGTTAGTGAGCATCATGAAAATTTGACCATAAAGCATTTCTGGTATGGAATGTATCATGGGACTTTAAAAAACATTCTTCCAACTCAAGCAGCTAAATTGAAATCCCTAGCAAACTTCAGAACTACTTTATTAAGTAGAAAGTTTGTTAGCACCTAAGGAACCCTGGTGGCATAGTGGGTAAAATATTCTACTGTTAACCAAAGGTTGGAGGAACTCTGGTCGCGTAGTAGTTATGAATCGGGCTGCGAACCTTAAGGTCAGCAGTTCAAAACTACCTACTGTTCCATCAGAGAAAGACGAGGCTTTTTGCTCCCGTAAAGATTTACAGCCTCGGAAACCCTGTACAGGGTCACTATGAGTTGGAACTGACTCCACGGCACATCACCACCAACAACAACCAAAGGTCGGAGTCCTGGTGTGGTGCTGCAGGTTAATGCTCTGAATTAAGTCACCTTGAACCACAAGTTGGTGGTTCAAGCTCACCAGCTGCTCCTTGGAAACTCTGTAAGGGTCATCATGGGTCAGAAGTGACTCAGTGGCACTTGAGAACAACAATCCAAAGGTCAGGAGTTTGAACCCATTAGCTGTCCTATAACCAGTCTACATTCTTATAGAAATAAACAGGATATGACAGTCTGCTTCTGTACAGAATTACAGCTTTGGAAACCATCTAGGCACGTCTGCACTCTCCTGTAGGGTCGCTATGTGTCCCAATCAATGTGATGGCAATGGAGTTGATTTCTTTAGGCTGTTAGGACTTAGGAAAGTAAGGCTCAATGTGAGTTTAGGAGAAACATATCATGCCAAATGATCCCCTTCTTCGTTTTTACAAAGATTTTATCAAATAGTCCTTCTACTGGAAGGACATTGGAATGGTATTCCTTCACAGTAGTGAGGTTTGTGCTGTCTTTATCCATCATTTCCCTGTTCTGAGAAGCTGAGTGAGTTTTCAGGACCCTCTGATCAACCTGTCACTTAAAAACGTGTGTCAAGATCCAAGTTGGGTTGAAATCTATGCCATTAGGGAAAATTGCCTATACAGTGAATTTTCACACCCAGACATATCAGTAATGAATAGAAATAGACACACACTTATAGATAAGTGTGGGAAGCTAGGGAAGCAGTCAGATATATAGGTCTCATAGTGATCCTATATAGGGTTTCTGAGGAGTAGCTGGTAGGTTTAAACTGCCATCCTTGTGATTCACAGTCTAGTGGTGATCCTACAACTTGTTGAAATAGGGCAGGTAAAATAGTCAACAACTTGGTATGCATGTTGGCACACTTGGCAAGATAGAGTCAGGAAGCAAGTTTGGGCAGAAGGAAGGGCTGGAGATTGGATTGATGGATAGAATGAAGGAAGGGGAACAAAAAACAACAGGGTTTGCAGGTAAAGAAAATGTGAAGACTCCTTCTAAGGGTCGGTTACTTCCTAATACCATGCTATTTTTCTAGTCTTGTTTTTATCAACTAGTTCATGGATTTGAATGAATTTCTCTGGGCCTTCCTGTATGTCTTTCTCCTGAGAATTTGGTTTTAAGGGTAGTTTGTGATTTATCTTTCCTTATGACTCCCTCCCTCTCACCCTATGTTCACAAAGTTTTAGTAATTCAAGTACTCACTTGCCCCATTAGTTGAGGGATCCATGACTGATTTCATCATCGACTGGAGAATATTCTGGCAAGAACATGCCACTTTTGGGGGAGTATGTGAGCAGAAGTAATCTGAAGCTTGTTCTCTGCTTTGTTCACCTCAGACTGCCTTGCTGTCTGCCTCCGCTTTAATAGCATATCATTTCTCCCTCCTTATGCAGCAAAGCCACCGGCACACTTAATCTCACGCTCTCTGGAGGCCCTTTGGAGGCTCAGAGCACGATCATGGTAATCAAGCAGGGGTGGGTGTGATCCTGGATGAGGTTTGATTCTTTTTCTGCCTCTCCATATTTAGGCTTTTCATTTTCACATTCCTCCCCACGGTTTGTAATAAACGCTGGAACATAGCTCAAGGGCAGGAATAAGGTTTAACTTCAGCCGAAGTACAATAAAGACTATTTGGGAAGTAAAACTTTCAAATGGCCGTTTAGCCTTGAAGTATATATTGAATTAGTTATGCTGTGTGCTTTGACTCCAGATCTCTGTATAATGGCCTTGCTATGTACATTACCTGAGTGCTTTAGTAGGCTAGAGAAATGGACTGTTGAAGAAATTATGTAAGCCCACAGTATCAATGCATGTGCTGACGGGAGAGTGTGGGGACAAGAATTAGACTATGTGGCTTCCTGTGCTGCTTCTGCTTCCGATGGGACCTTGATCTCTGGGATCATCCATTGTTTTCACCAATAAAATGGAGATCATAGTACAACTTGCTTCACAGTAGTATTAAGAAGTTCAAATGAGATCAATGCCAAGCATAGAGTTTTGTTTACCATTTAGTAACTAATAGCATAATGAAGGAGAATGTTATATAATGGTGTTAGGATTACTATCTGAAGCCTTGCCTCTGTAACGCAGTCCACCCTACTTCCTAGCGTCTCATTCTCTCTTTCCGTATGTAGTTCTCAGTACAAACCAATTCTTATTTCTTGTCAGTTTCAGAGTTGCAGTGGTCACCTCTTAAGATATGCTGTCACTTCAGAGCTCTGGTTAAACACAATGAAGACTGACAACTATGACTAATTCCATCGAGCACCTGAAACACTGGCGTTTCACTCCAACTCTCATATCTGCTGCTGAGTTGTTCTTTCTTGTTTGGTGTGTCTCCATTCTCAGCAGATTTCAAATCTAGTTACTGAGGGGGAACATCATTTTTCTCTGAAAAATAATCCAGCAGGATCCAATGTGGAATAATTGGGCTTCATGAGAACATCACTGTCAAGTCTAAAAATATATAGGAAGATAATAATCACATTTCCTTTTCTTTCTCTTTCTTACATTTTCAGCACGTTCATGTCCACGTTCTTCCCAGGAAGACTGGAGACTTTAGCAGGAATGACAGCATCTATGATGAGGTGAGTCTGCTGGCTCTAGTCTTGCTGTTTGATCATAGGGGTTGTTGGTGTGATGATGGAGTCAACCTAAGAAGCAGGTATGCGCCACATCTGATCTTTAATGGGATTCCACCTGGTGTGATTAGGAATGTGGCCACAGAGGGTAAGGAATCAAGAATGACCATTATGGAAACTTAAGAAAATGATAATGATTTTTTTTCTCAATGAAACTCAGCAGAAACTAAGTGATTCTATCCTATCATTTACTAGGTCACTAAATATATACATAAAATCTTGCCAATAGATCACATGGAGAAAGCTATGGTACCACTAGCTAAAACAGCACAGATTGATACCTGATTTTTGTTTTTTCATTCAACTGTTATATTTAACTTGAAGATCACATACGAATTCAGGTTGTCTCTCCAAATAGCATTTATTGAGAGTAGAACTTTGAAGAATCATCAGCAGAAACCAGGATGATTTGAATGGTAAAACTGTGCCATCAGCATTTAGCAGTTGGCTGAGTTTAAATACCCCCATTCAAATTCATAAATGTGAAACCACTGTGAACACGAATCAGCAAGAGCTGAATAGCTCTTAGGGTGTCATCTACATGGGAGACTTTCCAAGTCTTTGTCATGTGGGGTGTAATAACCTGTGATGGGTTATACTGGTACAAAATGTAAAGTAAAGTGATTTGTTTTTTGTATTCAGTTGTCAAAATCCATGGAGTCAGTCCTGAGGAGTGGCTAGTGTGTTGGAATTTGGAATCTTGTGGTTAGTACTGCAGTGTGTGTCCTACAGTTCCACACTCAGACCCCTATGTTTCCTCCATGGTAGAGTTGATCATATAGCAGTGGTTCCGTGGTCTACTTGGCTGAAAAGGACTTTGAAGCTATTTTATGGATGAAACCAGGAAAAGTGCTGGGATTGATTAGCAATGTCTGCCTTGGCTGTTAGAAAGAAGAGGGGTCATGTTAGCCAATTATTTCTATTTGACACTCCTGTTTTAACCCTTCAAGAAAGAGTTTTGAAATCTTCCTTTTATTTTGGTTGTTTACCATATGAATCACATGAAATTATTTGATTATCTCCACCTGGTGTACAGGAATGGGTAAAACTGATGCAGTGTGTTTACATTTTCTCACAACTAATGGGACACTACAATCGCTACCTAGATTTGTAAAATAGAAAGGCAGCAGTTATTATTGAGACTTAAAATTAATTGTTCTGGTACTCACTGGATTATTTGAGGTGACTGGTTACCATGCTTTGGGGACATATGTCCCTATTTTATGCTTCCTGTGTGTCCTTCAGCCTCCACAAAGCTTCAGTGGTGAAATGGTGTAGCCTTGGATATAAATGCTTATCTGTGGACTGATGACTATAAATAGAGAGTCCCTGGAAATCCAATACTAGACATCCGAATCCAGTAGATTTTGGAAGTGCTCAAGAACTAGAAGTTAACGTAAATATAGAGAGGTCCTTAGGAGATTTCTTATGCACAGTTAGGTTTAGGAATAGACTCTTTCCCAAATTTGGGCTTTCTAAAACCTGTAATCCTATAATATTATAATATGGGTTTATTTTCATTGGATGTGGAATGTTGTGTAGAGATTGATAAGGGCTTACTCCTACTTGGAAGAAAATCAGAATTAGGAAATAATGCTAAAGAAATACAGCATCTTCAAAATATATAAGCATTTTTCTTATTAGCATAAACTAAGGTTAATAAAATGTTGCCAAGTACAGGGTATTTTAATGAATAAATTATTAGCTCATGCTTTCTATATAAGTGAATACTTTTAAATGGTGTTAAAAGTGCTTGAAAAGATTGTTTTCTTAGTCTGAACACTCACTTTGAAGTCTTGTTTGTATTCTGAATGTGTTTGCCAGGTGTAAGTCTGCATTTTAACCAACCCTGAGACACTGTCCAGTACTGTGGTTGGTGTGTGGCCACCTTTCTTCCTCACTTTTTTGCCTCTGTAAACATCCTCCAATGGTGTTTCTAGCCCCAGAGACAATGCAAATCATGTTCTTACCTCCCATCAATTTGGAGAAAGAGCTCAGGGTAAGGGATTACTATACCGTGCATTTTTTTGTTTTTTACCTTTAAATTAGCACTGTACACATTACTCATTAAAAGAGATAATGACATAAAACTGTGAAGAAGTTGAGCTTTGGAAATAAGCAGACTTTGACTCAAATCCCTGTGCCAACTATTGTGCGACATCCCACAGTTTGCTTAACCTTTCCGTGTTTTGAGTCTCTCCTTTTAAAAGGTAGCTAATAGTGTGATGTTCAGTGTATCAAATCTGTGGTAACAGTAGTGAGGTTGACCCAGGATTGGGCAGTGTTTTGTTCTGCTGTGAGTCGGTACCTACTCGATGACACCTAACAACAACACCAGCAACAATAGTGGGGTGCTGTAGGATGAGCACTGAACTGCTAACCACGAGGTTGGTGGTTCAAACCTATCAACCTGTTCCTCAGAAGCCTATGCTGGGTCGCTCTGAGTCAGAACTGACTTGATGGCACTTAACAACAATCCTATATACCTCTCTAAAAGATTGTTGTGTATTCTATGAGATACTGTACTTGAAATACTTCATACTACTTGAGTTGGTTCTGGTTAATAGAAGTTAATGTTGCCCCATTCTGTGCCATCTTCACGATCACTGGAATATCTGAGTCCATTGTTGCTGCAATTGTATATTCTGAGTGCCTTTCAACCTCTGGCACCTCATCTCCTAGCACTATAATGGACACTATTTTGTTGTCATCTGTAAGGTTTAGTGTAAAAACACCATTGGAAACTGTCCACCATGGGTGGCGTTGTTAGTATTTGAAACACCAGCGGCAGAGTTTCTAGCATCATAACAATATGTGGGAATCCTGGTGGGTGCTGTAGGATAAACACTGGACTGCTAATCATAAGGTCAGCAGATCAAACCTACCAGCTGTTCCTCAGAAATCCTAAACAGACAGGATTGCTGCAAGTAGTAACCAACTCAGCGGCACTTAATAACAACAACATGTAAGCTACCACAATGTGACAAAGTGGCAAAGGAATGGTGGGTATAATTCATACTAAATATTTAATAATAGATAGCATTTCTTTTGTTATTACCCTTAGTAATCTTGTTTTTTATAATGTAGCAATATAGTGTCATGAAAAGACTATTGTTATTGTTGTATGCTGTCAGAAAGTCTTATCTTTCTCCTGCAGAATGGTTGGTGGGCTCGAACTGTTGACTCTGTGGTTCACAGTCCAGTGCTTATCCTACAATGTCACCATGCTTCCCGTGTATTGGACTAAAAAATCAGAAATCGGAGTAGTTAACAGCAATAATAAGGCTATTAAATCTGATCATGGCAAAAACTTGATTTTTTAAAATAAATGTGTAGTCCTAACAATAACAACCCTGGCCTAGTCCTGGGCTAAGTATTAGAGATTCATGGAAGAAGGCAGATTAGGACATTCCTCAGACTGTATCAAGTATATACCGTATGTGTATATGTTGTGATTATTGTTGTGATGTGCCATTGAGTCAGTTCCAACTCAGTGATTCTGTGCAGGGTTTCCAAGGAGCAGCTGGTGGGTTTGAACGACTGACCTTGTGGTTCACAGTCCAGTGCTGATCCTACAGCATCATACCAAGAGTTCTATGTGTATATGTTGTTGTTAAGTGCCATTGAGTTGGTTCTGACCCATAGAGACCCTGTATAGGGTTTCCGAGGAGCAGCTGGTAAGCTTGAACCACTAACCTTGCAGTTCAAACCGCTTTGCAGTTTGGTGCATTAACCCACAGCGCATATGAGTATTTATTTAATTCTTCAAATGGGCTTGTGGAGAAAAGGATGATCTTAGAGCCACTTTTTCAAGTTAGAACACTGAAGCTCAGATACGTGAAGCAACTTGTTAGAAGATGGCAGGACGCACATTAAAAACCAAGTTATTGGATGCTGTCATCCAGTCCTCTTCCCAAGGGTCAGATTTCCAACCACTCCTTTCCTTCAACCTTTAATCCCTCAGTTTCTTCAAAGCTGCTTTTCCAGTTTGAGTGTATAATAAGATAATGTCTATGAAGTGGCAAGGGAAGCATAAAGCACTGCTCAAAACATAATATACATTAGACTCGGTGATCTTAATCAGAAATGATAGAGTGATGAGAGGTGGCATCCTTTATATTGATGGGAACACTCACTCTAGATTATGCATCTGTTTATGAAACACAATAAACAGGCTGCCCGGGAGGGTAGGAAACAGGGCAGCAGGAGACTGAACTCAATAAAATATAATTGTATTCCCACTGCTGCATAAATAGAAAATGATGGCTAAAGAAACGCTAGGTTATAAATTACCTGGGAATGCTGTGTTCTGTTTGCACACAGTTTGAAGTGGGATAGTGATTGGGGGCAGGGTCTGGGAACAGTGGTTTGGGTTCTGGTTAATGATAGATATGGTTTCTGTACAAAAGAAGAATACTTGTGGATGAAAGGAACTGACTTGTGGAGAGAAGGCAGATATTTTTTTTTAATATTGGAAGCGTTGACAGATGGAAAAGATGTTTAGCATGTTCTATGTGCCTCCGGATGTCAGTTTGGGGACTGTCAGAGTACAAGGAGGCAAATACAAGCTCCATATAATGATAGGTCAAAATAGCACAAGCTTCTGAACACTGAGGGTGTGTTCTTGAGAGCTCGTTGGTTGCATTCAAGCAGAGTGGTTGGCTCTGGACCTTCTGGAGAACTTCCTTAGATGTCCTGCATGATAATGTATAGATATCCCAGTGAATAGATTCTGATTCCCATCTTTACAAATCTGGCCAATTTAATCATTAACTCCATTTTTAGGTTATATGCATGAGCTATAACTAATAATGTTTTTGTTATCAGTAGTTGGGTGATTGACTTTAAAACATATTCTTTTTTTATTTTTGGCTCACAAAAATATAAGGTATAACTCTTCCTTAATTTGAATGAGACCACACAATTGATTTTTCTATTTCCTTGAT